TCCTCCGAAATTCTGAGAGATATATTAGAGATATGAGCAACCCATTGGAAATGTACTAGAATGATGATTGGAAATCAAATAGAATGATGAACAATTCCGAAAGCGGTTTCGTTTCAATAAACCTGCTGTAGTGGATACACTTACGCCGATGATCGACAAACGTCCCAATGACTGAACGAGAATTGCCGATTTCCCCCTTATTAAAAGTTCTTGTTGCATTAAAATGTTATGCAACTAAATCCTTTCACGAATGTTTCCAAAATTTTTAACTTTTATTCATTTCTGATTTATAAGACCTATTATAAGTAATTATGAATTTCGCAATATGAATTTAAATTGTTGTAAAATGGAATTTATGTTAATGCTATGAGGGGTTGACATTTTCAATTACAGGAAATGTTAATAATCCATTGCCAATATTGGCAGACATGTTCATACCATGTTACCATACCACCACCTTATGTTTATTAGTTATACTAGAGCCTAAGTTAACGTTGAGGAATCAATTGAAACTGATGTTAAGTATTATATTACAATCCAATAATACACATAAATAATGTGTAGAAATTGCACAAGACATTGCAGAGGTTCATGGATTATAGTTTTTACCAAACATTTCTTATTATTAGGGATTTGTAATAAATACATTTTTAAAATATTAACATGGTACCAATGACAGTCATTGAAATTATATGAGAATCATAGATTAAATTGTTACAAATCTGCTTGTTATTAGTGATTGGTAGTTATCACATTAGTAAAATATACCAAAACCAAAACAATTCGTTTTGTCTGTATGAGCACATATTAGAAGTAGTAGAAGTATTTCGTGCGCGCGACGTCAACTCTACGTTGTGGAGTGTCCGCCCCCTGTTCAATTGGACGCTCTTTGTAAAAGATGAAGTGCGTATGTAAACTCGGTTGCCAAGAACTTCGAAACAACTGCCGCCTATGCCGTGTTGCCACATTTCCTTTCCGCTTAAGGGAACACTATTCCGCGATCGTAAGGAACGTCTATGAAATACGAGCCAAGTGAACACTTATTTTGAGAAAGCACTTATCACTTAAGGGTTCGCTTGTCCTATAAGTGACGACTATGAATTCAGCCCTAGGGGTTAAAGAAGTGCAAAATATGAGTATTTCTGGCTTTAAAATAATATTAGTTATATAAATTGTTGGTAGTTCTTGTGAAATGTCCGCACATTATGTTTACAATTACATGATTATATAATTCTAATGGCCGAATTCATAGTCGTCTCATACACTGAGTGTTCCCTTAAGTGGACGAATCGTATTCATAAACAACCCTTGAGTGAAGTCTTAAGTGAGTACTCATTCCTATAAGCAAGGCAGCCTGCTTCCTTAAGTGCCCGTTATGGCTCCCTCGCATCGTCAGTCGTAACCAGTTTAGGTTATACTTTTACGCGGCGTTCACCGACTATTAAATTCATTTTGCTGGTTTAGTGTAGGCAGTTAAAATCTATCATTTGTGAAACATGTTATGGAAAACAACTTAAATAATTATTTTGAGTTTTATTCTCAACAAATCCTCCGAAATTCTGAGAGATATATTAGAGATATGAGCAACCCATTGGAAATGTACTAGAATGATGATAGGAAATGAAATAGAATGATGAACAATTCCGAAAGCGATTTCGTTTCAATTAAACTACTGTAATGGATACACTTATGCCGATGATCGACAAAAGTCCCAATGATTGAACGAGGATTGCCGATTTCCCCCTTATTAAAAGTTCTCGTTGCATTAAGATGTTATGCAACTAAATATTTTCACGAATGTTCCCAAAATGTTTAACTTTTATTCATTTCTGATTTATAAGACCTATTATAAGTAATTATGATTTTCTTACAAATCTGCCTGTTATTGGTGATTGGTAGTTATCACATTAGTAAAATATACCAATATCAAAACAATTCGTTTTTCTGTATGAGGACATATTAAAGGTAGTAGAAGTATTTCGTCGTGCGCGCGACGTCAACTCTACGTGCGAGTGTCCGCCCCCTGTTAAATTGGACGCTCTTTGTACAAGATGAAGTGCGTATGTAAACTCGGTTGCCAAGTACTTCGAAACAACTGCCGCCTATGCGATGTTGCCACATTTACCTTCCGCTTAAGGGAACACATTCCGTGGTCGTAAGGAACGTCTATGAAATACGAGCCAAGTGAACACTTATTTTGAGAAAGCACTTATCACTTGAGGGTTCGCTTATCCTATAAGTGACGACTATGAATTCGGCCCTAATAAACATCACTATCTTAGACAAGACAATGGTCTTGTAGATGTCTGTTTTCATTTTTCAAGAAAACTGGACGTTGTAGAGAAGAACTGATACCATATTTGGAATCAGCACCCCAAAATTAGGGGGAAACCATTCAAAACTAAATCATCGAATATTTTCCCTTTCTCGCGATTAATAACAAACTTCTTAAGAAGAGAAAGTTATGTAATACAGTGCAGAGAAAGTTAAATAATGGTTTGATTTTTCGAAAATTGAAAAAAAAATCGACCTTTTCCTACAACCAAAATATTAAAGATAGAGATTTTCTCTCTTAACAAAATTTGTTTCTTATTTTGAAATAAGGTCATGTAAAAGTTTTCGCAAATTTGAGAATTTTTCGATCAATTTTGCGTGAAATACATGCAGTTTTCAATTTTAGTTTAAACAATTTTTACTAAAAAGTGGCATCATCTATTATGATAAAATTATGTGAAAAGATATTTAAGAAAATGGTGCAGGTCTCATGTTGGTTTAAAACACTGATTTTTCGACAATTGAAAAATTGAAATATTTTTCGCCGTCTTCCTAAAACTACAATTATGAAGATATGTTGTTTCTTAATGAAATGTGTTCATTAAACCAGGTTTTCGAGTACGGTCATGATGAATTTTTCAAAAATATGAGTATTTTTGCAGTAATTGGGCGTACAATTTACTTGCCCTCTCTGAAAATTCTGCGCTTCTTGATCGTAATTTTAAATGCTTTGAAACAGTTGGATGCTACGTAAGTTAGCGTGTCTATTATTTCATATTCTTTATTCGTTTCGTACAATGGAATTTTTGTTATAAGTTTTCAAATAAATATTTTTAAAAAATATTTAAAACCTCTTTGAAATGAGTGTGAAATAAAGAGCTCTGGCCTTCAGTGGCCCGCCTCTAATTTATGCAGTTGGATGCTACGTAAGTTAGAAATTGTAAATTATTTTCATTTTATTATTATTATTATTATTATTATTATTATTATTATTATTATTATTATTTTATTGTTATTTATTATATTTATGTTATTTCATTTTAAATTGCGCCCTTTAATTGTGTTAAATGTTTTATAAAATAAAATAAGAGTGAATAAAACTGCAACTTACCGTGCGCAGCACTAAGAGTCACGAAGGAGAGCGAGAATAAGTCCTCAATAGAGATATATAGACCTCAATAGAGAATAGAGACCTCAATAACACTGACCTGCGTTTTTGAAAAAATACTTTTAAATTTTTTCAGCATTTTGTAGGAATTGGCCACGCTGAACTCAAAAATAATATTAGTTTTCCTCAATCACGTCTAGTTTTTGCGTTATGGATCATATCACTTCTACGCATACTACGCCCATTAATATTGGGACATTTTCTACTTATAGAGATTCAGTAACGTGATAAGAGACGAGAAAACAACAACGGACTACATGAAAGTAACTATTAAGTGCATTAAGCACAAGATAGTTTCAATAGAAAATTACATTAAAAAATAAATATTGGAGAAAAAAATTGGTATCCTCTTCCTTTCTCAATGCGTCTCTCGTGAGTAATAAATGTGACCGATTGAAATAAATGTAGCTATATTATCTTTCATTTATTATATTTTAAAGGTACTTTACATAAGACAATTTATTTTATAAAACATTATAACTTAAGCGCCTTTCGTTTATGAATTGGTACCAATTTATATGTCTTTTCAGACACCAACAAAAGTCAGCCATCATAATGATGCCCCAGCGACCTTGATACCCCTCTACCTCTGAAATATAAAATAAAGTCTCTCGACGTTAATTACTGGGTAAGTCAAGCTAAAATA